GTACATATAGATTTAGAATAGTAGTTATATTTTAATGATCGAAATACCAAAAAATCGGACAAAAAATTGAGCCGAACCGAAACCCGATATCCGGATTGAGCACCTATAATCCGAATGAAACCGAACTATTGTTTCATTTTTCAAAACATAATAAAAATAATAGCTTCATCCCGCGCAAGGCGCGGGTCTTATCCTAGTTGGTTTATATTTTCTTTAACCATTCAAATTTTCAGAATTGAATTTGTTACAATTTGTTGCCATGAAATCTTCATGACATCTGCAAAATATCTTTAGTTTCATTTTTTTGGTGCACATCTTCGGTTTCATTTAAAAGCAATTCATTGAAATATAAATTAATATATATCTTTCTTATTAAGATTGCAACTAGGTGATTTTCCCGTGCTCATGCACGGGCATGTATATTTATAAAATAAATATACAATAATAATTGATTGATATTTACTTTATAGTTTGTATGTCTAATTTATATTATAATATTATATTACTTTAATTATAAATATAATTTTAGATATGTTATATTTAGTCTGTTTTATTGTTTTTACGGTCGATTTAGTTATCATTTAGATATATTGGATTCTATTTATTTCTCTGAATTCAGCTATTATCTTTTATAATTTAAATATATTAAATTTTTGATTAATTGTCTTATTTGTATTTATGTTGATTATTATCTTAGAAATATAAGTGCTTAGAAGAAAAAAAAAACTAAAGTTTCTGATTCTAAATTACATACATAAGTAACTAAATGAATTTTTAGAATCTTTTGAACACATATCAATATTTACAATAATTAAAATATTTTATAAATTCTAAATAATTAATGCTTTAGATTGATTAGATGGTAAACTGAAATTTATTTTAAATAATATTAAAATTAAGGATTCTGATTTGCTTAAGTATTTTGACTATGGTTATATTAAGTTTCACAAACATAAAAACAGAAAATTAAAAATCAAAAGATTTATTAAGAAAATAGATAATTTTAACTATTAAAATATAATATATCTACCTCGTTAAATTATATAATGTTATGGTATTTTAAAATAATTGTAGTTATTTTCTGTTTTTATGTTTGTGAAACTTAATATAACCATAATCAAAATACTTACGTAAATCAGAATCCTTATTCTTAAAATAGATAATTTTAGCTATTAATAAATAATATATCTACCTCATTAAATTATATAGTGTTATGATATTTTAAAATAATTGTAGTTACTTGATCAAAAGATGTTTATTATTAAATTTATTTTTAGTTTTATTTTAGTATCCCTTAAAATAGTCAGTAAAAAGTGATTGTTTTTGAGAAATTATACTATATAAGTAAAATAGAATTTATATTTTTACTGTAATTGTAAGATATTATAGTCAAATAAATATACTAAAAAGATAATTTCAATAATACTAATTATAAAAAATTTCAACTAAACATATATCAGTTTATGTTAGTTGATCATTTTATGTAACCATCTAATAAAATAGATAGATAGACACAATAATAATTATTTTGAAAATATATATATTTATTGTTTAAAATTATTTTTTTAAAGAAAAAATATTTCTTTTTCTAATAGCAATATTTTTTGTGTGAATTTGTTTTATGAAATCACATTATATACAGATATTGTTTTTTATCTAAGAAGATATAGATATAAAGTATTTTATTACTTCAAAGGTATATTTTATGTTATTTAAAATATATTTAAATTAAATATTACTATTTTGTAAACTTTCCTTTTTTATTAAATTATATTATATATACTTATATTTTCGTTTTTGAACAGTTTTGTAAATTTTATAAATGTTTCCTTTTAATTTTATATTGTTATTTGGAAATTTTTAAAAAGGAAATAATATTTAATTGTATTTTTAATTCATTAGGGGTATCACAGTAATCAACCATCGTGAAAATTAACGTGAACGCGACACTTAAGAAAGTGACTTCTCAAATAATATTATAGAGATATGCGTGAGAAAAGTCATAATACTGGATCATTTCTTCACACCTTGGTGAACTAAAAGTTTTAAGCCAAATAAAATACTCTCAAAACGAATTTTTTTTTTATTATAGACTATTCTAATACTATATAAGTAGTACATATCAAACTATATAACATATTCAAATGCAAATCAAACCTTTTAAAATTACAATTTGAGAGCCCTCTTGGTTAATTTGTAGGGTCAGTGGAGCCAAAACAAGAACTTGAGAGAGGAAGAGACAAAAGAAGATAATGCGCATTATCTCTCTCTCTCTCTCTCTCTCTCTCTCTCTCTCTCTCTCTCTCTCTCTCTCTCTCTCTCTCTCTCTCTCTCTCTCTCGTGTTACACGGAGAGGTCCTAATCATAAAGAGAAACGGGACCGACCAAAACTCAACCTCTTTCTCAGTGCTTGTCAACATCATATAGTATTCAAATCTTGTTTCAAGTTTTATTCACGTAAAGTCCTTAGCCTAACATTGATCAAAGAGAATCTCTCCGTCTTTTTTCTTCTGCTCCAAACAAGCAATAGCTTTGTCTTCAGGCAAAGCAAGACTTGAGAAGATGGTTCAGAGAAAGACTTGTCAAGCAATCAAGTCTTACAATCTGCAACCTGAAACTAGGTTTGAGCAAGAACATCTCAAGAGCCTTGGACCAGAGATGATGATGATGAAGCGAACAAAACCAAAGAGGAAGCTTAAAGACAGTTCTGTTTCTCAACCAGGTAAGACTCAAACACCACCAAGTAAACATGATCTTGTTGTTAAAGGGACAGGTAGGTCACCCAACTACATGAAAGGCACCTCTAGTTCCGAGGCAAGGATAGAGAACAAGAAAATATTCAATCAGAAGAACCAAACCGGTCTGAAACATCATGGAGTTAAGAAAGAGAAAAGTAATAACAAGCAGCCGAGTTTGAGGATCGTTAGGGGTTTGACAAAGGCTCCGAGTTTCAAGAGATGCTCACAGAGAGCTACTTGTTCCTCAACGCTCAAAGATTCCAAGTTTCCAGAGTATCTGATGCTTAATCATGTTGGAACTGATGATGAAGTTAGTGGAACCTCTGTTTTGAGAGTCTGTCCTTACACGTATTGTTCACTCAACGGCCATATGCATAAGCAGTATCCTCCTCTGAAGAGCTTCATATCCTCAAGGAGACAGAGTTTGAAGTCTCCAAAGAGTATGAAAAAGGAAGATTCAGTGGAGATGTATGTAGAGGAGGAGAAAGAGTGTGAGGATGTAGATGGAGGAACTTGTGAGGTTGATGTTGAGACCCAAATCTCGGAGACTTTCTCTGAAGGAGCACCTCATTCTGAAACTGATTCTGATGAGTACTCTGACACTGCAGAGATGGTGAAGTTTTCAGAAATACAAGAACCTGATATGAGGGAGACTCTTGTAGCTGAGTTTGTGAAACAAATCCAAGAGACTTGTGAGGTTGATGATGACTCTGATGGTCCAGTGATGGTGAGGGTTTCAGAGGGTGATCATGGAATTGAATTAAGAGAATCAAGCTTGGAGGAGGCTTTAGTGGATGAATCTGTGAAAGAGATCCAAGAGACTACCTGTGAGGTTGATGATGACTCTGATAGTGCAGAGGTGGTGAGGTCTTTAGAAGGTGATGAAGACATCAAGTTAAAAGAATCTGAATTGGAGGAGACTTTGGAAGATGAATCTGTGAAACAGATCCAAGAGAAAACAAACATAGAAGATGTTGATCAGTCTGGTTCCTTTATCTCTAATGCTATTGGTATGATGAAGTACTCAGAAGCAGATGATGCTGATGAAGAGACATTGAAGGATCATAAAGATGAGGATTGCGAAGAGGAGTCTCAAGACCAAATTGAAGCTGTCCCCATGTTAGAGAAAACTGCAAAAGTTCCATTTAGCCGTAAACAAAGGTCATGCAACCAAGAAGAAGAGTCAGATGCCACCATTTCATGGACTATCACTTCCAAGAAACTTGCAGCAGAGACAGAGGATTTGAGGGCATTCAACCCAAGAGAACCCAATTTTCTTCCTGTTGTGGTGGATGCGGATGCTGAGAAGATAGACCTCAAGCATCAGGACATGGATGAGAGGAAAAACTCAGAGGACTGGATGTTTGATTATGCTCTGCAGCGTGCGGTTAACAAACTTTCCTCAGCAAGGAAGAGGAAAGTTGCATTGCTTGTTGAGGCATTTGAAACCGTGAAACCTGTTGTGCAACATGGTAAAGAACCTGCCCCGGTATATTGAGCTATAGAAGACAACTTCAAACCTGCAATTAACAGAGGTAACTAACAAATGCCCCTTATAACTCAGCTAATAAACGAAGTTTGTTGCAAGTTCTGCTTATGAAAACGTTTATGCAGGTCAGAGGATGGTTGAAGGAGAGCAGGAATGGCTTTTAGTTATTTACTTGTAAGTTAAGAACCTAAGAGTAAGGGGACAAACTTTGATGATTTATTACCTTAGCTCTTTGTGTGGTAGTTATATGAATAATATGGATCTCCTTAATCAGTGAGGAGGACTCAGCGTGTACTTGCTTTGGTACAATCATATAAGTTATATGTAACTATCTGACAATGTGATTGAATTGAATGCTGTTGTTGTTGATTGTTATTAAACATTGACTGCTTCTTGTCTAACCGATGATTTCTATGGTTCAAAACAAAGAACACAATAACAATCATCCATAATCATAATATCATCAGCAAGATCACAAGAGGATGCAAGTCTAAAACGAGAAACCTAGGAGGTTAAGTTTAGCCAATATACACTTGAGGATGTCCAGAAGAGAGCACACTAAAACCAATAACCTAAAAACACAAACACCAGAAGCTAGCAAAGCACATAAGACTTGTGGCGGGGACTCAAGCTCTACTTCACTCGTTGGCGATCTTATTGACGAGTGACTTGTGGATGTGGGGATCACACCTCCTCCAGCAATAGTTCCTTTGATGAGAGTGTCAAGCTCCTCATCTCCTCTGATGGCAAGCTGCAGATGTCTCGGAGTGATTCTCTTAACTTTCAGATCTTTGCTCGCGTTTCCAGCTAACTCAAGAACTTCTGCAGTTAAGTATTCGAGGATCGATGCTGTGTAGACTGCAGCGGTGGCACCAACTCTGCCATGTGCTGAAACACGTGTCTTGAGTTGACGATGAATACGACCTACTGGAAACTGAAAAGAAGACAGACATCAAAGCAAAACAAAATCAGCATCAGACAAATCTATTCTTGTAAAATTTAGATCTAAACAGAAAATATCTAACAGGTCAAGAAAACAATGAAGTGATGTCTCTGAAAATCGAATAAGCAGACAGCAAGCAAGCAAACGAAACACAAGATCCTCGAAATGAAGAGAGGAACAGTGAGTTAGGTGAAAAAGCACTCAACACTATTCTGTTATTTATCTTTATAGTTAATTACAATTAAACGTAGACACAAAAGCCTTGAAAATCACATCAAACTAAAATTTACCAAAGTCCAGTTGTGTTACGCACATTTTGTCACCATTAATACGTTTAATACAGAGCATAACACAGATCTTGTTCTAAATATCTTTACCTGTACTGATTCTTATCTAAATTTCTCCAGAACAATCGTCTTCTCAGCCACAATCACAATTGAACATAGACCTAGAACCCTTAAAAAATCACATTAAAACTTCAGAATCTGAACAGAGAGATAGGGTTTAGAGAGGGAAACCTGAATACCGGCACGAGAAGAGCGAGAGATGGATTTCTTCTTGCCACCAGAGTCCTTGTCTTTGTTAGCAGCCGTCGTCTTTGTAGCGATAAGTCCCTTCCCGCCTTTACCTGCCATATCTCCAACTCCAAGACCTAAACCAAAGACGGAGACGCTTTAAATTTTCAAAAAGAGATCACAAGTCTCCTAGATCTGCGCTAGGTCAAATTGAGAAATATTCTTTTTTTAACGATAGAGAATTAGAACAAGGGCCAAAGACGTTTGGTGAAGTAACTAATTAAAATCGAAACAAGAAAGATAAGTGGAACAAACCCTAAGATCGGATAGAGAGATAAGAAGGAAGGTAGCTGAAAACGGAGAGCGGGAAAGTGAAAAGAGAAGTGGGAGGGAGGGAGGGAGGGATACACGAAAATTGTGTGGAAGCTTTTAATATTTGTAGTTATCTTTTTTTTTTATCTCTCGTGGATATACCATCTAATGGGTTCTAAATTAATTTTTTAATTGAAAATAATCAAATTAAAAAATTTAGATATTTATCTTGTTTTAATCCCTCCAATGATAGAAATAAGTAAATGTTTGAAATTTTAAAAATTTAAGAATTTATAATTAGATTACATCACACTCTATAATAAAAAAACTTATAATTATTGAATTACATAACATTTAAATTAACTTGACATAAAAACATAGTTATTTTGTATTATATCAATCTGAGATCTGCTCCGGATCCTCTTGAAATCAGGATATCTGGGGATCACCGGATCCAAATCCAGATAGTAAAATTTTAAATTCGTGCAAACTGAATCCTAATCCGAATATCTTAATTTTTAGGTCTGGATATCCGGATTCGGGTCCTTATTTTAAAAAATAGATTAATTTTTTTTATTAATTATATCTGATATATTAATATGTATACATAAAATAAGTTTAATAATATTCTAATTTTATATTAATAATATTATATTTCATATATATATATTCATAAATTATGCATAAGTATTTGAAAAAATGACTAGAATAGACCTAAAAAGTTTTTTATCACAAATATAGAACTTAACAATTAAAATAACCAAACTAGGAACTTAAATGTTTATTAAATTTACATTTATACCTTTGGGTTAACTAATCCTAGACTTTTTTATTTAGAATTAAGGAGTAGGGTTTTGGGGATAGGGTTTCGAATTTTAAAAAATAAAAAAATTTAAAATTTTCAAAATAAAAAGTGCTATTTTAGTCATTTTAATTTTTGACGTCTTTTTGTGATAAAAACTTAAAAGAGTACTACTTGAGAGAATTGCCTTAAATATTTAGTTTTTTTTTAACAACTAAACTTTATTTAATAATTAAATTGTACACAGATTACATAAATACATATAAAACAATAAAGAAAAAAATTAAATAACTAAAACGATGATTGCGACAAAAAAAAATTAGTTTGCATAAATATTTAGTTTATGTATTATTTTTTATAAAAATTGATATTTTAATTTTTTAATTATTTTTTACGGATCCGGATACGATATCACAATATCTAGACAGATATCCAAAGTCTGGATATCTAGAAGACACGAATCCGAAACCGGATACTAAAATCATGGATCCGAATTCGTTCCAACCCTAGTTATCATCACCATGTGCCAAATGAAGTTTAATTTTTTAAAAGAAAATTATTACCTACCACAAAATGACACATGTTATTTAGAAGTGGTTATAAAAATATTAATTATAGAACCATATCTATCTATTTTTTTGTTCTTTTGATTTAAATTCCAACACTTAATTACTTAGATACACCATTTAGAACTATTTTTTTGTTCTTTATTTAGACTTCTCTTCTTTTTTTTTGTAAATTAATGAATTAGAAATATTCATTTTTCTGTTTTTCTCAAATTTTATGTATATCTATATACTTTAAATTTTAATAGCTGCCTACAAAAAAATTAAGGTTTTTTTTTGTCAATTACATCTAATTGCTTCAAATTTAATTAAATTTATAAATCCAATACCACTACTTTAGTTGTTAAAAATTTAAACTATGAGATTTGCAACATCTATTTACTTTTTCGTAGCCAAGAAAAACATCTATTTACAAATGTACGGAGATACTACCAAGAATAGGCGAATATACGGTATACAAAGCAAAAACAACGCACAACAAACACGGAAGGGCATTTCCGTCATCTCCTAATCCACTCTTTTCGTTTCCAACTTATTCCGGAAGGATCTTCCCTAACAAACTCCGGCACAACTGGAGTCGCAGACACGTTTTCTACCAGAAACGTCATCGAGGGTAATCTCGACTTTCTCCAACAAAGCGCATCAGATCTCAGCCACTTGTTACCCTCACCAACACCCTTAATCTCTCGACACGTCTTCCTTAATCGTTTTCAAACATTAACTTCTTGACACGTAGGACTCACACGTGTGCATCTTATCCTTCCCCTTTTATAAAACCAAAGCTTATCCTCTTCTTCCTCTTCGTTGTTGTTTCTTTCTTCACATCACCGTTTTTCAAATTCAGTTTCGTTTTTTCTAATCGCCGGCGATAGAATCAAAATCAGATCTCCGTCAGATAACGATCAACGGCGAGATCTCCGTCCGATTTTTCTTTATAATGATCACAAAAGCATAAAAAAAATCCTCCGCGCCGTCGCGTATCTAAGAAGTTTAAAAAATAAAATCAATATTTTAATTAGATCTCCGATTGAATATTAGCTTTTCGTTTGATCTTCTATATACGACACCGTTTGGTGTGTTTTTTCGATCGCAATGCCGTTTGGTACGAAAATCCAACCGATCGGTGACTCCGATGTAGCGGACGTGGAGATACCTTTCCCCGAGACGATGAAGCAAATGCCGAAATCGCGTTTGAAGCGTCTCTTCGAGCGTCAGTTCAGTGTAAAGAACACCGAGTCCTCCTCCTCGGCGGTTAGGCCGTTATCGAGAGGTAACTCGGGAGATTATTTCGAGCCGAGCTCGGTCTGTTTGGGGAAAATGGTTGTTAACTTCATGGAGGATAACAATAACGGTGAGAAGCAGAGGTGTGGGCGAAGCAGATGCAGTTGTTTTACAGGGAGTGGGACTGAGAGCTCTGATGATGAGTCTGATTGGTCTGATGATTTGAGAGGTGGTTCTTCTTCTTCGTCCCGTGAAGATTGCGTGACTCTCAAGGTATGATTCTGTTTTTGATGATTGTGTGAAGAAGCAGAGTGTTGATTTTGGTTTCTGGTTTTTTTTGTGTAGAGTTTGGTTTTATGTGGGAGCGTGTGTGAGAGGAGTTTGATGGCTGATGTGAGTAAGATTGTGGAAGTTAGTAAGAGTTGTAAACGTAAAGATGAGTCTTGCTTGAAGATTGTGGTGAATGAGTTGGTGAAGTTAGGTTATGATGCGGATCTGTGCAAATCTCGTTGGGAGAAGAAGGCTTCTTACCCTGCTGGTAATGATCCATAGCTCTCTTCTGTTAGGGGCATTTTTAAGAAAGTGATAATCTTTCAACATATTGCTGTGAAACAGGGGAATATCAGTATGTGGATGTGATAATTGATGGTGAAAGATTGTTGGTCGACATTGATTTCAAATCGAATTTTGAGATTGCTCGTGCCACAAAGACGTACAAGTCGGTTTTGCAGACTCTGCCTTGTATTTTTGTGGGCAAAGCGGATAGGTTGCAGAGGATTGTTAACCTTATATGTAAAGCTGCGAAGAAGAGCTTGACGAAGAAAGGGCTTCATGTGCCGCCATGGAGGAGAGCTGAGTATGTTAAATCAAAGTGGATGTCTCCTTATGTTCGTGGACCAGATGCTGAAGAAGACAAGCAGCAGGAGGCAGTGGATGTTTTGACTAAATCGGTTGGTGCCTTAGTCTTTGGTGTTTGAAGAATTTGTGTGCAGTTTTATATATGATGACATAAAAACCTCCATAGAGAGGTGTGGTGTTGTGGAGCGAGATAGGAGTGTTCGAATCCTTTAATAGTTTTTGATATTAAGGGTATGAATCTGATGGATCACAGTGCGTTTCCGCTTATTTTTTTTTGATGTAAGGGAGACTGTGATCCAACTATGTGACTCTGTCGTTACTTTGTGGGGAAGTATTATTAAATAATTACATTTTACTATTCTTATTGGTAAGACCCTATATGGATTGATTTGCTTACTCGTGATGTGTCCAATCTTGCATTTAATTTGAATTTGAAGTGCTTTGTACACAAATCTTCTGTTATTTAAATATATATTACTTTATAATAAATTTAAAATCTAGTTTTACTTAAAAAGAAGAATTGGCAAGAGCAGACATACATTGAATATTTTAAGTTATTTATGTGAGAACTTTTTTTAGTAATTTCAAATGTTTTGGTGAAATCTTAATCCACTTAAAATCTTCTAAAATTATTTAACATCAGATAATTCCAAATCATCTCAAATACATAATTTATTTCAGATATATATATTTTTTTTTTACTTTTTCAAATTCGAGGTCCAAGAAGAAGTTGAGCATATTAACTGAGAGAATGAACAAATTTCACAAATTATATTTTGTTTTCTTAAAAGGCTTATTATAATGAGTTAATTTGCTCAAAATACTAAAAGAAGTGGAATACCTTAATTTTAGGGGAAAATATTGATGATGGAGGGAATAAAAATGGGGGGAAATAGGATATGGAATGCAAATAGGGTAAATCTTATGTGTAGGGAGTGTAAATACTCTATTATAATTAATTTTTGTTCGTATTGATTTACAATGATGGTGTGAAGACGAGGTTGAAGATTTGAGAAGGAAAGTTACATCTACCAGATTTTAGCAAAAAAAAAACTTACATCTACCAACCCATGTAGAATGACAGACCTGATATATCATAGTACAATAATAACATATAAATGAAGTAAAAGTGTATTGTCAACCACTACCTTGTACATTGAGCTGTTAATTAAAAAAAACTGAGGACTTTCTTGCCGTGGGGAGCAAGATTCTCGTTTATCCATTTAAATACTGCTTTAGTAGACTCTTGAGGTTAGCAACACGTATATATAAGAACACAATACTTGCAAGGTCAACAAAACATTTCAAAGACAACTCAACCCAACAACACAAGAATCCATCACTTATATCAAAAGAGTCGACACCTTTTCTTTAGACACATTACATTACAAACCGATATATAAGAGGCTATGGATAATCCCCCTCAAGGCATCAACAAAGTTTGCACTTGTATTGGTACTATTGATACAGACAGCAACCTGAAGAAACATGACTTAGAAGCTGAGAAACGACTCAAAAAGGTGGAAAAAGACTATCTCCATGCAAGCCAAAAGTATACAGAAGCAAGAGTAAGTTTTTCATCCACGTGAACCCTGAAACATACCACCAAAAGCTCATTACAGATCGTTACATTGCTTTGTTTATTGTGTGTATAGTTACAGTCGCGTAACTTAAATCGTGAGAAATGGTGCGCTATCAGTCACCGTCGCGCGGCTGAAACACTCATGAACTGCTGCAACAACCTGGTCGAGAGTATTCAGGAGACTCTTGACAAGCTACCTACAGAGAAAACAAAGGAAGTCATCGATCATGTAACAAACACTATGATTATGATCAATAATTTTCTTTTTAACGGGCTTGATTATGATCAATGTTACACAAATCTTCCATGTTTTACATACCATTAAACTTGCTTAATTTGTATATTTTAGGGCGTGCAAACCTCGATTTTCAATGATTTTGCAAGTATTAACATACGGGTATTTTTAAGCTTAAACACTCGAGATTCATAGCTTTCTTACTAGGAACATACGTGGTCTTGACTCTTTTTTTTTTCTTACCATGTAATTAGTTACGCTACTTTCAACGAAAATTGCCGAGGGTTAACAGCAGAAAAGCTGTAAATGATCTTCTTAAGGAGGCTAGAAAGAAGAGGGTGTGTAGAGGAAAAGATCTTTCTAACGTTGCACCGGTTTGTAACCCCACAAGTCATGACAGTTTGAGAAAATCTGTGGAGCAGGAACTAGTTGTAAGATCCCTTGTTTCCTTTGAGCACTAACATGTCTTACTTTGGACCAACCAATTGAATGATTCTTAAATATTAATTAGGTTCTAAAGAAGCTGTTCAAAGAGGTTCAAAAGGACATTGAAGAAAAACTGCATATAGAACAATGTGCAATAAATGTATATGAATGTACGGAACGAAAGGTGAAGCATTTAGAGGTGAAAAAGGAGCAGCTCTCGGGGCAAAGGGACATCCTGAGGCTGAACATATCAAGATGTTGAGTGCTTATTTACCATGATGGGTTGTGATATTTTAATATGTGGCTTTCAATGTATATTCCACTTTTTTCATACACCGTTCACCATAATTTCACTTGTATATACAATTTCACTGCGACATGTGCACCCAAAATAACTGTCTCAAGTCTCAGCAGAGAAAGATAATGAGAAGATCTTGTCAAAGTTGTTTGGAAAATTGTTATTTGAGATTTGAACAATTGAAAGATGGATTAAGACGTAAGAGTTGTAAGGAAAAAAGCTTAAATGATGAGATGATACCAAAATGGATACAATTAAAAATGTAATGGCGAGGTATAACGCTGGTATGGAAGAAATGGGAAAGAAACACATTATCAAAGTCAACAACATTCACTATCCCTTACTCCTAAGCTTGACCAAGCATATCTTAAGTCCATTCATTACTAGAAAACAATAAAATGAAAACTTCAAAACCAAGAACGTCATACAGAACCAGCTTGGGCCCTAAAGTCATTATCATCATCTTCTTCCCCAGTCAAATTATTTGAAACTGTCTTTCTTGCCACTGGTCCCTTTACCCAGTCCTACACGCTACACCGATTTTAGATCAGACTCAATCAGAAAGCGTGATCCAACTAGATGGTTGCTTTGATCTTCAAACATTCAGAATATCATTTCATAAGAGAATGAGTTATGGTTAGTATATAATCTATATTATTAAAGAAGTAAACCTATAGTACTTTGAATATATAATTATTAACTTAAGATATATGGACTGTGAAGCAGTACGTAATTTCAGAGAAATTAATTTGGAGGTATTAGTGCTACTGTTACGCTTAAACGCCCCGATTAAAGAGAAGAACGGGTGTGGTGGAGACGAAGCTCTTTCTAAATTGGACATTGGTTTGTAAGCCCACAGTCACAATCACAAGTCGTGAGCCATTACTGTCTGAGCTGTGGAGCTGGAAATAAAAGTAAGATATACCTTCTTTTACTTCAGGACTAGTCTGTCTTACTTCAGACAAACCAATGGTATGATGTCTGCAAATTAAGTAAGGGAGTCTGTGATCGACTCTGTTACTCTATCTTTGCTTGGTGGGATTATTATTACTAAATAATTATTACTACTATCCCCTATATATTAATTGAGAAACATTTAAAAAGATGTAACCTCAAGTTTGTATTAATTAAAAAGTAACATTGCTTAGTTGTCAATCAATCAGCATATCAATTAAACTGACGTGGCGGCTTTAGGTTCAATTGAAATTTGCTAGGGAAAAATAATTAGAGACGCATATAACGCATGTAACATAGTTTATATATTTATATATATCGCACACATGTAATGGAAGAAAAGGAAAATATACGATTTGATAACGATTTGCATATATTAACTATAATAACTTCATTCCTTTTAATT